CTCTAGGGAGAAGGGGCTTGGGAGGGTGACGGATACGGATCGCTGCAGAGCTCTGAACAGCAGGGATTTTACGGATAACTTTCTGTTGATTTAATGGGTCTTGCTGCTTTTTTAATATTATTTTTTAAGAAAATGTAGCATGTCAAGAAATGCAGAAAAAAATGCAGCAAATTTCCTAAAGTAAAATAGTACTAAAAAACAACCCGTCTATCTGCATTGTGATTTTTATTTTTCTCTTGCAGTCATTCATTTTGGAAGTAGAATAAATTTATTTTACTGGTGTATTTAGTAGCTGTTAGTAGCTTCTTCTTTTCCTTTTTTTTTTTTTTTCCTTTAGCAGATTTCCAAATCAAATGTATGCATATTGGTCCTTTCATTTTGAATGCCTACAGTGAACGGGACATAAATTCAGTGTCAATAATGTTCTTCCGAGTAGTGTTTTTCTGCAGGCAGAGGAAGGCAGACCTGAGCTCCCGGGAAGGTGCCGGGCTGCCCGACCTGCCACGCAGCGGCCCTGGACGTCACTCTGTAACCGCCCTTGTTACTCGGTGCTCCTGGGCTTGGCTCACAAAAATGTGAAGGGAAGTTTTATTAAAACGCAAGACCAGGCATATCCAAAGGTATCAATAGAAATCTTTAGTTTCCTGATTTTTGAATAAGATAATGTAAGACAATAAATGTAACAGTCAAATAAAATCTTAGAGGGATAGATCACTATCAATTCAACTTGTAATGAGAATGAGATCAGCCCTAAGTCCCTACTAGCTCCACATTCAGTTAATTTGATTTTTGCCATCCAGTACAATTATTACGTTACAGAAACCATTTTTAATTAATAGTTAACTAGCAGTCTCAATACCTATCTTTGGGCTCAAAGTCCAGCTGGAAGCCACGCTGGAATTTACATTTCCACCTGGGAATGGATCCCACGTGAGCCCCGCCGGGGACGGGAACGCCGCAAGGGCTGACGTGGGAGATGCTGCCCTTGCCCACAATCTCCCGTGTGTGCTTTGGGGCTGTTTGTTTTTAGCTGAGGAAACTTGCCTGTAATTGAATATCAGCTTTAAGGAAAGGACTCATCACATTAAAGACTTCAGGCATTTAATCCCTAATAAGGCAAAATTACACTGCGAAGATGTGCATGCTAAGATGAGAGCAAGCACGGGGATTCCTGCACTGCAAGGACGGACTTCATCCATGCGGCCGCTGAGGTTCATCGTTTTTCTCCCTGTTGCAGTTGATGCTCACTGTATTAATCTGTTGTTTTGTTCTTTCCTTAAGTTGACAGGGTTGTTACAGTGGTACGCAGGCACCTTTAGAGATCCAATGATGATGCAGCCCCCCGAGTGGTTTAAGTCATTTATATTTTGTGAAGCCTTCTTACAATTGCCTTTCTTTCCCATTGCAGCATATGCCTTCTTAAAAGGTTAGTATAAAAGTGGGAGGGCCATGTCATGGGCAGCATTTCTGCAGAACATTTGCTTTTGTATAGCAATAAATGTTTATCCAGCAATCTGAAGCAATTCTGGGGACACACTATGTGGGGGTGCCATCTTCTTGCAAGTTTTATCAGAGAAAGCAGCATGGATAAGGCCTGTCAGAAATAAAAACTGTAACTGGGGGCCCTTGTCGAATGCAGCCATTTATGTGTAATCAGCGCCAATGTCAGCCTGTCGCAGATATAAGTTACTACTCTGTTAATTTAAAAGCCACTGAATTCTGCACTTTTCAAAAATATTTCGACCTTGCTTTGTTTCTGCCTCAATACAGGTGGCTGCAAGTGGATAAGGACTCCCGCAATTATCTACTCGAGCCACGTAGCTACAACTCTGCTGCCCATCCTTGCTCATATCCTGTTCCACGATTTCTCGAAATCTGAGCACTCGGGTCCGCAGACTCAGCGCGAACGCCTGATTCTCTTATCTATCTATGCACCATATTTGCTGATTCCGCTTCTGATTCTCTTCACAATGCTGTTCAGCCGCCAGTACAACCAGGTGGAGAAAAGGAAAAGGAAGTAGGGCAGCTCTAGTCGTCGGTGCAGCACTCAGGCTCGCTCCTTAGCGCCTCCGCTCAACGAATCCTTTGGGACCAAGGCCCAATCCCGCCACCCGCCCCAGCCCCGACCCAAGCACCAGCCTCCTGCAAGAGACGGCGGAGCTGCCCGGAGCTGCTGCCCGGACCAGGAACAGCTTTGGCAGGAGCTCCCTTAGCAATTCCCTGGGGTGTCTCTGCACACGCTGCTCGGGGAGCCCAGCCCCTCACGCTGCCGATCCTGTGCGGCACATCTGGACCCAAAAATCTGGATTTCCAAATGCTTACAGTTAACTTACTTTGACAATAAGGCACACTTCTTCCCAAAGGAATTTGAAGAACTTCAAACAAGCATTTGCAAAGTACTCGCATCCGATGAAATCCCTTCTAGTATGGAATTAAATAACCTAGCTTTCCATCTAAGCTTATTTAGGAATAACTAAAAGGAATTTGAAATGACTCTCAGTAGTCTATACGGTAAATGTTGCATTACATTGTAAAGTTACAGTAAATAAACCCTACATAGCGGTAGAGATTTGTTGTTGTTCTCAATCCAATCCGTAACAATCAACTTTGGAGATCTGTCCAAAATTCAGAGGTCAAAGAATAGGCTTTTCAGGACTTCACTGGTGTTTAATTTAAAGTTTCTACAGGTTTTGAAAGGTCATTGCTTCCATATTTAGTTGTCTAAAGACAAGGATAAAACGCATCTGTTGGTACTTCCACATAAGGTTTGATTTTAGTATCAGGTGCTAAGTGCTTGTAGTGTTGTAAAACGTGGGTGTTCTCTTCTGAAACGTCACATTCATATAAACTGGTCCTATCCACCCCTTTTGTCACAGGAGGCTTGGAACAGCTTGTTTCATCAATTCCACGTTCTAGTCTTAAAATATTCAGAAAAGCATTCTAGTTCAAGATCACTACCTGTTTGGACTTTATACTTCACATGGAATTTAATCTTACTTCTGCTGTGTTTTCTACTTTTGCAATTGGTTAATTCTATTACTCATAAATTAGCCCTTGTCTTCTTTTTAACTGGATAACAAAAGAAAATCTGATCAATATAGATAAAAATTACTGCTGCTTCTCTGTTGTGTTGTGTCTTTATACATATGAAAACATTATATTTTGCCAATTCTTCATTATGAGTATGCAGGGAGTTACAAGCTCTTGGGAGCAGAAATAACTTAACAGAAGCAACTAATTCTGGGATCTCCAGGCAGTCTGAAAATAATAATTTATTTCCTGATTTCTTCAGAAGAGTTGTACACTTCAAAAAAAGTGACAGACATAACTTAGCAGCAGTAGTGTTAATCCAATGTAATCTGAATTTAAACTGCTGACTGTACCAAAAAAAATGAAAGGATAGAACTGTCTTTATTTACATCTTTTAGAAAGCTCTCCTTATTGCCATTTTTAATGTAAATTTATATTGCATTAAAAAACATTTTAATTTGTACAAGCTACCTATTCAATCACACACAATGAAAAATTGCATATTTTTGAAAGCCCCAGAATCCTGGAATGTTCATGTTCCCAAGGCAACATGCTGTTTGTCTTAAAACCTGCTATTTCTGAAAGATGAATTGGTCAATGAATTCGTGCTGGTCAGCTTCTATTTTACACAGAGTCTCGTACTCTATTCGGTATCTGAAAGAGAAAGAAAAAGGCTATAAACTACATTCAGTTATTTGGGCCTATCTTCATGGGTCTGTTGCAAGGAAAATCTACGCTAAGCACAAAAGTCATCCTCAAAGCAGTGGCAACATCAGTTGGACACTGCAGTCCCAGAGTACCTACAGAATGTGGGTGAAGAGCCCTGTATGGCAGTTTGAAGGGTTTCTTCAGCCGCATGATCTCATGCCCCCTTTTGCCACAAAAACATGAAATGAGGCTTCCCCTCGGGGTGGCAGACAGGGCCTTCAGGGTGATGCCTCTGCATCACCCCACGCGTGCTCTGTTTAGGAGGATGTGTCTTAGCTGCAGAGGGACGGTGTGAACCAGCTTAGAAACTGTCCTGCAGGCAAGCAGGTAAAACTGGCTGGCTACCTATTATGAGACTACATAACTGAGCTGAGTTTGTCACGAGTGACATACTGCTTTCTTTTCAAAATACTGAATCAAAGCCCCCCAAAGCATTTAATATAAATCTTACCTTTCCAACTGCATCTTTTTCTCAGCTATTAAAGCCTGAAGTTGCTGTTCCTGAGCTTCTCTTTGCTTTGCTATAGATTTCAGCAAATTTCGCGCACCAATGGCCTGTCAAAACAGGATTTTCAGTGATGCGGTTATATTTGGAGTATTTCATTACTATTGAATTGATTTGGAAGTATTTCAGCCATGCCAACAACAGAAGAGGATATCATCTTGATATGGAGAGTTTGGTGGAACAGAGATCCCTGCAGCAGTTGTGCTGTTTAAGGCATTTTAGGCTTCCTTCAAACTTCAAGTGTTCAGAACAGCCTGACAGACACACTCTGGTTATGTTATTTTCCCCAGAACAACAACGAAACTACAATTGTACTAGAAGCTCAGTTTTATTTTTGCAATAATATTGGGAAAAAACAGTCTTTCTGCAATGTAGAAATACACAAAGAAAGTTTCGGAAGTAGTTATGAAGTTATGTATTTATTTTGTCTTTGGACAGCCCCTCTTGCCGCCTCTCATGAACTAAATTCAAATGGTAGAAAAACTGATGGGAAAATATTCCCATGGAATACACTGGTAAGCTGCAACAAGAGGACTATGAAACGCAGGAGTGACGTGACACTCTGTGTGTGCTGTACAATTTTTCCAGTTGTTAACATCCCTTCTTTGGAGCCCCTGTGCCTTCACAGCTGACAGGCAGGGAGATGCTAAGTGCAAAATGGCTGTGTGATGCTGAACTGAAACTGGTTATCGACACTGTCAACGTGGGGAGGAAGGGAATCGTTTCCTCACGCACTGTATGGGCAGACTACATTACAAGCCAGTAATTAATTCCACAGTACCTTCATCTTCTCACTCTCAGCGGCTTTTGCTAGTTGATCAACAAGTTCGATTAAGCTACCCACTATTTTCTGAAATTCTACCACTTCTGAAAAAAAAAAAAAAAATCAAGTAATATCCACGAAAACGGCCATGAACAAGACTAACGTACTACCGGCTTTGGCATTTGGCTGGGACTCGCCAGCCCGCGGAGTTTCTGCCAGCAGAAAGGAAGGCAGCAGCCCTCGAGCGGCAGCGGCCCCCGCTCGGCGGCTCGCGCGG